TTTTTTTTCTGTCAGCACCATGGACAGCGTTCACTATTCCCCATTTTTGCTGTCTGCACTAAAAAAAAACTAATTTTGGAAGGTATTGAGAATGTCATTAAAATTCTGTACGCTTTAATCAAATACAATAGAGGGCAATGCAATAATAATTAAATTCTACTTATTATTATTATTATTATTTTATTTGTCTCTTTTATTTGTCTCTTTGATTAGACTTTAACTGAATTTGGTATCAGTTCAAGTGTAGGCTACAGGGCCGGTATGTTTGTGAAGACATGGTTATAAATAACTACATTGACTTAGCATGAGCTCAGAACAGTTACGAAACGTGGCTGAGAAAGTTTGTGGTTTGGAGTTTGTATTCATCTTTACCTGTTTTAAGTAAAACTTGGTGTCAAGCTAAGCTAGCACACCAAAGCTCTTGATGTGGGGGGGTGGGGGGGCGGGGGAGTTTGTTGTTTGAATGAATTTTTTAAGAAATTTAAAAGGATTTTTCTGACTTGAACCCAAACCAGTTTAGGTTTGATTTTGTTGTTTTTTTTTTTTAATGGAGAACAAACCAGATGACTGTATATAATAGCATTTTACCACCTAGTACAGAAGCTCATGTGGAACTTATTTCTCTGCACTAATAAATCTATTTAGGAAGCTATATCTCAGTGACAGACTTAAAGTTTTATCACAATACTGAAACATGACAAAAACAACTATTTATTACATCTTTTTTATGTAACTGTATGACTGTGACTGTGTGTCACCATAATTGTAGCCCCACAAACACAAATAATGCTCTTGACAAACATTCCCACTTGTAACATGCTTATTTAAGACACAAGTCGTATAAAGAAGTGTGATTTGTTTCACCAAATTGCATACAGGAACTGTATTTTCAAATGTATTGGTATTTATTGCTGCTTTCATTGAACAGGAAGTGGAGAAAATAGTAAAACTACCAAGAATAACAATAGTGGTTTAAGCATCTTTAAATTGTGACACCGATAAATCAACACTCTTATCATGATAAGAAATTTATCACGATAAATTATAAAGAATACAATACGATAAATGTCCACACCTACGATACAGTGTTAATCAGGTGTATTTAGTATTGTTCAATAATTTGTGCTTGTCGGTTTTAAAATAAACGATGCTCCCTTTGAATTGCATAGGTTTTGCGCTTTTATTTGATTAATAAATTATAAATTTTAAAAAGGGCAGATATTCCCTGTTTTGTTACATTTCTAAGCTTATGAAACAGTGTAGTTAAAACCTAACTGAGTCTCAGGTTTTGTTAGAGTTTCGCAACAGATTTTAAAAGTTGGTTCTAAGCTATAAAATTCACTGTTGAATGATAAACTTATATAATTTCTCCTAAGAAACATGGAATAAAACCAACCCAAATACAATGTATTCAAATGTATTCGATCTTTTTGGTTTCAAAGTAAGTGCTTGTCTCTTGAGTTGAGTGCTGTCTTTGCCTGGACCAGCTGCTACTGCCCACGTTGCTCTGAGAAAAATAAAAGAAACAGAAAAATCCCACTGTGATTTCCTGTAGCTCTCTCAATAATTGCTGTGTTAGAACAAACACAAATAAATAAATAAAGCAGCACAGTTTCCAGCATCCAGACTGCTGCTGGATTCCTTTCGGTTGTTAAATGTCAAAGAGAGCTCTCAGAGGCATAAAGAGCAGCTTGTCAGCATGTGTGGTCTTTGACGGATCCGTGAGCATTATTATGATTCTTGGAGCGCTCTTTGAGACTTTTTATTTCCTGTTTCAACCAAACACGGCGGCAGTTCTAATCCACATTGGACATTGTAATGAAATCAGCCAAAGCAGATCTCGTCTGGTTTGTCCAGACGCATTAGAAGTCAACCACTTGTCAACCAATGTGGGCAATAACAGGAGTGTGATGCATTTATAACAAAACCTTCAAAAAAAAGAATAAAAAACAACATAGTGGTAATGTTGGAAATCCATTTTCTTTCAAATGCTATTTGATTTATAGAGGCAGTGTTATGCAAAATTGACTTTTTTAAGCTTTGCATCACTTTATAATGTTTTACCCTCATGAAAAACATACCTGGAGTGTTGCCTTGATTCTTTCATGTATGTTTGATAAATCCTTTAATCTCCATGGCAACCATTTAGCTGTGCAAAACACAGCTAGCTCCGCCTTCAAGGCTCCTCCTTGGAGCTGCAGTTTCCAAACTTCCGCCTCACACAGCAGCTCTCCTCTGTAATTCCCCCAGTCAGTTCCTCCAGACTAGCCAGCTACAATTAGCAAACACCTGGTGCGCATCCGCTGAGCTCATTGTGTGAGATCTTTTTCTGTCCTGCGCTCTGACAAACATTTGCATACACTTGATAGAGGGATGCTGATGTGATGACATGCTGAAGGCGGAGTGTCGAGAAGAGCAGGAAGTTCTTAAAGAGACACAGGCCCAATTTTAAGGCATTCAATTGTGAAACTTCAAAAGAAGGACTTTAGAATCTGGAGGTGGGGGGGACAAAGAGGGAATGTAAATTCAAAGCTTGTCAAAATCAGAACCACAAAAAGAGGCTTTTGCATTTCAGTCTGTTGTGTGAAACTATAGATCAGTTTGACTGTGGAGTTAGAGCAATGTCCAAACATTAAATAATTCAAACTTTTGTGTAAGGAAATGATCTATGCTAAATATGATAAAGTATCTTGATATAGTGTGTTGTTGTTTTTGCATTGTTGGTATCAATGTTATCATTATTATTGCTGTTAATACTATTAGAGCTACTATTAGTCATATTTGGACTATTTGTTTTAAAGGGGCAGTATGATGTAAAATTTACTTTTTTGAGCTTTACATCATGTTGTCAGTTTTACCACATCAGAAAGACATCTGGAGTGTTGCTTTGATTCTTTTATGCATGTCTGGAAAATCCTTTAATCTCCCATGGCAACCATTCAGCTGAACAAAACGCCTGGGTGAACTTAGCTCCGCCTTTGAGACGCAGCTCCTCTTCTGAGCTGCTGCCTCACAGTGCAGCCCTCGCCTGGGACTCATGCATTCAGCTCCTTCAGACTAGCTAGCAGCAATTAGCAAACACCTGGTGAAACTCTGCATTTATACTGAGTTCATAATACAAGTTACTTTTCAGTGCAACACCAGTAAAAGTGTTGTTAAAGGGTTAATAGAGGAGCCATGTTGTGATGACTTCTGTAAGGCGGAGTTTCAGAAAGAGCGGGAGTTTTTAAAGCAACAAAGGCCCAATTTGAAGGTGTTAAATTAGGAAGTAAAATTTATTTTAAGTCACATTTGGCACACATATAGCATTTTTTAACAACTGAAGGTAACATAATTACTTATCTGGGCTATAAAATAATACTACATGCCTGGAAAGCACATAACACTGCCACTTTAATTCTGAAATCAAAGTGGCTGAAGTAAAACCATGTGAGGCCACATTAGCCTCACCATAAACTGACCTAATTCCTGTTTTTGTTGTTGTTTTTCTTCAGTCAAGTGCACCTCTCTAATGCCTTTTCCGTTTCTGTCCGATTCTTCCATCCTTCGCAGCATGCAAGCGCAAGGAGCAGGACCACGGCCGAAGCGAGCGAGGGAACGTGACCAAGAAGCCCCGGCTGGTGTTCACGGACGTCCAGCGGCGGACGCTCCACGCCATCTTCAAGGAGAACAAGCGTCCGTCCAAGGAGCTGCAGCTCACCATCGCCCAGCAGCTGGGCCTTGAGCTGGCCACGGTCAGCAACTTCTTTATGAACGCTCGGCGCCGGAGCCTGGACAAGTGGGTGGACGACGGCTCCGGTCACGCGCCCAACTCGGGGCCCAACGTCTGCACCAAAGCCTGAAGTCAGACTGAACCTGACCAACTCATGGACTGATTCAACCTCGGTGGAAAAGCTTTAAAAAAAAAAAAAACCAAACACTTCTGAGAAACAAAGAAAACTTAAAAGACCTTGAAGCAACATTTTGCCCTTAAACCTGTACTATATTGATATTTATAGTATCCAAAGATGAAAAGCAAACCAAAGACTTCTTGTTTGACCTGCTTTACGATGTTTGTTTCAGCGACACAGTTTTTGTGTAACATACTGCAAAAAGACTTTACTCTCTTTCACACACACACACACACACACACACGCAAGCACGCAGACGCACTCACAAATACACATACACACCCAGGTCTCTAGCTTTATTACACCCCCCTTCACCTCCCTACTGTGTATCAGTCTGTCATTTGCCATCCTTATCTCTAATCTGATTGGTTGGTTTTAATGATGGGTCCCTAAGAGGAGGTCTAATCAGCCTATAGGCAGTCTGGTCTGCAGCTGTCCACAGCCTGAGAAAAAAAAAAAAAAAACATGGATGAATGTGGAGTTCCAGCGGGATTGGCCAATCAACTTTAAAAAGAAAGAACATTTTCATCCTGCGGGGGAGCGACCCGGATTGTTCTGCAACCTTGTTTGGACCAGTGGCGTGGACTGTATGTCTGTTTGTCTGTCTGTCAGTCTGTGCAAGTCGTCTGTCGTTCTGTCGAGCATTCCAGACAGACGGGCGGGCAAGGAAATGTCCTTTCGTAGACTGCTAACCCAAACCCAAACAGCCTGAACCAAACCAAAAAGGAGAAGAAGAAAAAAATGGAGCTCGGCCTATTTAGTGGTGCTTTCTTCCAACATGCTGATGCGTTCAGTCGGGAAAATAAAAGAAACCAATCGGCATCAAGCTTCTTGTGCCGCACAGAAACGAAACCTACAAAGACCAAAGAATATATTTATTCAAAACGTAGGTATGGGCAATTATGATATTTTCTTGATATGATAACATCAAGTTTCAAAGTGTCATTTTATTTGCAAAAAAATTAAATCAAACATTTATTTCCAGATTCAACTGCTTTTACTAAGTAGAGCAAAAACAAAAAAATGACTTGACATAGTGTTTATGACACTTACTGAAATGTGACCTATAACAATTATTTATTCATGTTAGTTTTGACACAAAATACTTTATAGAATTACATGCCATGAAGGTAAATACGGATATATTTTTGGCCATTTTGCCATGACTGTCCATGTTTTTTCAGTCATACCATTCACAAGCGGCTGAATTTGTCCCTTTTTACATAAGAAAAAAAAAAAGCTGGGCAGCAACATGTGGGGGAGGGCAAAGCTGCATTACTTATATGCTGTGCTTCCCAAAGTTGGGGGATGGGGGGCTGCAACGTGGGTCCCAAATCAACAAGCGTGGGATCTTGGGAGTCCCAAGTAAATCTGAAAAATATTATGATGAACCGTATTTGTGGTATAAGTCTTAACAGCGATACCACTCAGACATGCCTCGTAATAAAAAAATATATGTTTGCATCTTTACGCATAAGAACATCATTGCTTATTTTTCACAAAATGTTTGTTTTATTCATAAATCCTAAGACACAAACCTTCCCCCTTCACATAAAAACGTGACCCAAACAGAGTCGCATTGAAACGAATCAGTAGCTGCCACACGTTCAGCTCCACTTGATCTTCTTTAACAGTGTGTTTTCTCCACACAAACCGCACGTGACAGATAGCCTCCGATGTTTTTTCTTTTTCTTTTCTTTTTTTTAAGGACAAACTGTGTCACCGCTTTAATAATCAGGACTGTGGTGTCAGTCCATCGTCGCCGCATGCGTCTCACGTGGATTTGATTTGATCTCCTCATCAAAGATGTGCAGCTGAGGAATTGATATCAATGATCGAATCACTTTGGGGCGCTTACACGGCAATGTCAACTCGTCACCTGAATACAAAAGCATCTTTATACGTCAGCTTGCTGCCAAGTCCCCCCCCCTCCCCTCTCACCCCGCCCTCACCTTCCCTGCATTTCAGCACTTGGAGGAAAGCACTACATGGGCCTGGCTCTGGGGTGGCACAGCATTAAATGTATTAAACTGAGCCCCCCTCCTCCTCCCCTCCCTCCCTTCCCTCGTCTGGGGTTAGCAGATGTACATTCATCACAACGGATCTCTGAAGGAGAAGAGGCCTTCTTCTTCGTCGTCATCTCTCGAGAGAAAAACCAAAAATATGACAAAACAATGTTTCAAGACCTGCTGATGTTTTGTTTTGTTTTTTTTCTTTTTTTTTCTTCTTCTTCTTAGTGTGAACCAAAGATGCTACCTCACTCAAGTTCCATACGTGATTTCTATCACTTTTGATGATACCAAAGATAACCAAAGATTTTTTCTAATTGCACGGCCTCTGAGTGGTGTTCAAAGAAGTGTGATGTATGTGTCCTGTCCTCTTTTCATTTAGCCCCCTATCTCTCTCTCTCTCTCTCTCTCTCTTGCATCTTCACTCTTGTCCTGTCCTTCTCCCTGCTCCAGACCCTCCGACCTGCAATCAACCCATGTGTCCTCTTTTTATTTTACTTTTTTTTTTATTTTTATGCGTGCTCTTGCTTAATTTGTGCTACGATTCCAGCTCCATAGATAGCCCTGCTGATGCAGGTAAAGGCAGACGTGCTGATCCAGCCATAGATGCACACAACCGTCCATGCAGGTGCCTGCAGAGTAGACTTGTAGTAACGAGATCTTTCTTAGTTATTCCTACTGCTTCTTCTTTTGACAAGAAAACCCTGTTAAAATGTAAAAGAGATGCTTAAATTTGAGTTTGTAGCTTTATTTATCAATTTTTGTTTTTAAACAGAATGTTGATTTAAACTAAAATGTCATGAAAAAGTGTTTGCTCCCTCCTAACTGATTTCTTCTGTTTTTGCTGTTTTTGTCACACTTAAAGGCTTCAGATTATCAACCTGATTGGACGAACACAGATAACCGGAGTAAATACAAAATACAGTTTTCAAAGGTTTTTAAAAGTTAGAACACTATCCATAGTGACCTGGGCCTTTGGGGAGACAAACTGCAACTTAACCGTAGTAACTGGTTATCCTGAACACGTATATAGAAGAAAAATTTACATCTTCTCTTATTTCCCCTGTGAGTACTTAGGATTTCCATGTCCTGGATGTCTTGTGGTTACGGGCAATGAGTGTTTTGCATCGTCACAGAGGAAGTTCAACCCACTTTTCCTTGCAGAATTTTTAAAACCTCCCTGGAGGGCTGTTGATCACAAACCGCTTGTTTTTGTCAGCATTTCAACTGGATGTAAGTCCAAACTTTGACTAGTCCACTCCAAAAAATCCGAAGTTCACTCGCTAATGTACTTCAGACCATGTTTCTGCTGCATAACCAATGCATGATTGGTTCAACTGTTGGGTTATTTTTTTTTGTGAATTAGTCTTACTCCAGCTGTAGCAGGACACACACACACACACACACACACACACCAAAACGTTTCAGTCTCGTCTCGTCCGTTCACCAAACACCCAGAAGTCTCAAGGATCATAAAGATGTTCTCATCTGAAATGTGTTCTCTGTTTTGTCAGAAGTGCTTTCGGCCTTAAGTCTCCACTGGATGCGAATGTCGCCTCAGAGTTTCTTTCTTATTGATGAATCGTGAACCTTAACTAAGAGAGTAGGTGTTACCCTTTTGCGACGTTAATGCGGTTTTGGAGTCATTTTGCTGTTCCGTGTTTTCTGTGTTTGTGCAATAGTACACTGGAGTCCCAAACCAACAGGAATGACTCTGGATCCCTTTCCACACCGATAGATGTCGGTGGGGTTTTTTCTTATGGCTCAGATTGGGGCATTATGCATCTTTTACACATTTCATTAATTCTATAGATCTGGTAGCCTGGACTGAAGTTAGTGGAATTGAACCATATTTTGGTTGGTTTGGATACCTTTTGTTCCATACTGAATAAAATCATCATTTCGTTACTTTCCTAAAATAATAGCCTAAGTCATTTTTTGCCAAAATAGTTTTTTATTTTTTTATTTTGTGCCTAAAATATCTTTTGGAAAGAAAGAGCTTTAGTTTTGTTTTATGCCAAAAATCAACTATACATACAACTTTAGGAAGGTGACGATTTGTAAACAACATTTTATGAGAAAAAAACAAACGTTTGATTGATAAGACGATTTCTTTGATTATCTGAAACATATAAGTGTGATAAAAAAAATCAAAAACAGCAGTAACACAGTGAATAATTTATCACAGCGCTATTCGTAACCCTGCCATATAATTTTATTATTTTCTTTCTGCTGGCCCTGCCCCCTTCGTGTTGCATATTATTGATCCAACGAACAAGTCAGACATCTTCACATGACAGCAGGCAGACAGCCTGACGTAGCCATGGCAGAATCAATGATTCAACTATAGGCAGACATGTTCCTGAAAGTAGAAGCAGATGTGTTGCAGTCTTTCTTTAAAAAAATAAATAAATAAAAAAAATACAAAAACTGGAAAAAAAATAAAAATATTAATAATAATAATAATAATAATAATACAACCTCCCAGGACGAGTGCCTTGCTTGAACCAAAGTGTTAAACCGCTGTTGACCTCTCACTTTTGACTCTGTGAATACCTCAGCCTGTAGAAAGGCCACAACTGAAGAGACAAGGATTTTTTTTTTTTTTAACTTCTTTTTCTTCCTTTGTACCTTTCGTTTTGTGAATCACACCGTGGTGCTTTTGCCAGTGCAACCATGCAATGAAAACATACCAAAGGATTTTCTGTTGTCCACTTCTACAGATCAAACCAAAGGCCTTTGTTTCTCGTCCTCTATCCCTCCCCTCTCCCCAGACACACACACACACACACGCGCACATACGCACGCACACACACTCCCTCCCCTCTTCCCTTCCTTCTCTCTCTGCTGTGTGTAGGAGGGTCCAGCACTCTGGCCGTGCATGTCTTTTACCAGTGTCTCTGAATACCTCATAGTAATAATTCCTTTGAGTTCTGCATCGAGATGTCTTATCTGTGAGTAAGGTAGAACTCCACCTGTCTGGTATTTGATATTGTTACGTCAAAAAAGCTGTACGATTATCTATTTTCGAGCTGTTGTTTATTTTACTTCTTTTTTTCTTTTTTTTTTTTTTACTTCTTTTTTGGGGGCAGAATTGCTCTGTTTCAAGACACGGAGGACAAAGTTTCAGGGTTGACGCGAAACCTAAGGGGGAGAAGATTATTTTTATCAGACGATGGGGGTTATGCCAATGTTATGACGTAGACGATTACTTTTACAGGGTAAAACCAACTGCTGTGATGTTGTGCTCCTACTTTCTCTTCTACCTACTACTGTGTTGTGATTTTAATTTAATTGCATTTTTTTTTTGTATAGGTTCTTTAATTTATGCATTTGTAGAAGCTCTAGATTTGTACATAGTATAGGGTTTTTTTGTGGAAGGGGGAATAATGAAACAAAAAAGACATTTTATGCTTTACGTTACAACCTTATTTTTGATGTTTAGATCTAACAGAAGAGTAGTCGGGGGTTTTTTTATGTATTTTTTTTTTTATTTTTAAACTGCATCCTAGCCAACATTTCAATGTGTGTGTTTTGAACACTGCCAAAAATCCAGACGGTTCTTTTTTTTTTTTTCTTTTTTTTTGCCAGTGCCTACAAAGTTAAACAGGCTTACTTTATTGACTAGCGGGCAAATAACAAGCAGTGTGTATGTGTGCGTGTGTTTTGTTTTTTTGGTTGGTTTTTTTTTTTTAAGTTTCCTTTGAATTTTTTATTTTTTTTTTGAAGAAAAAAAACTGTTACTCTATGGGTAATACTGCACATCCAAAGATTTTTAAAACAAACCAAAAAATAAAAAATAAAAAAAATTGGAGAAAAAATATGTATATTGAAGAGGGGGGGATGGAGGGGTAAAAGCACTGGCATTTGTGTGGTAGATTTGTTGAGTTTTTCTTCGCCATTCGCACGGGTATAGAATGTAGAAGGCGTAGGGCTATGTAGGCAAGCTTACCGGGGGAATCTCCTGTTCAACGTACAATCCGAAAGCATTTTGAAAGCGGGGGCTGGAAGCCCCTGCTCACTTTGCTGTCTTGTGCACGGGGTGGTGAGGTGGAGCGCGGGCTGGGGGCAGCCGGTCTGCCAGGGGCCATGCCACGGAGCTGGGTCTGTTTTTATTTGCCGTGGCTCGCCGCCTCGCTCCACCAAGTATCTGTTCTTTTTGGTACGTACTCGTGTAACGACTATGTGCAAAGTCTAATAAAACTGGAAAGAAAACCTTACCAGAGGGATTTCTGTGTGAGTGTGTGTGACGGCGGACGCTAGCTGCGTTTCCATGACAAATGTGCGAAGGAAAAAAAAAAAAAGAAACTCTCGACAACGCGGATAGAAATTTGCAATTTCACAAATGCGGCATTCTCATTAAATAAGAAACGCTATTAAAATCTCATGTAAATATGTTTGTTCGTGTGATGACTCATTAAAAAAACATGCTACGTCATGATCCTCCAACTACTTCCTGTCTTCTTCGTCGTATCCGCCCGGTTGTTGATCGCGTGACTCGCACAATCCGAAATCGTCACCTGTGTGTCCTTTCGAAATGTGCGCAAATTTTTGTCAATGTTCCGCTAATGTTTAGAAGAAGAAAAAAAAACACACAATTAAATTCTCACATTAACACTTTGTTCACGAAATAAGTTATTTAAAAACACCCCACACCATCATCCTCCTACCACTTCCTGCCGTCTTCTTTGTCTTTTCCGCCAGTAGAGGCAGTCAGTTGTTGCTGCATTTCCATTACAAATGTGTGCAAAACTTTGTTGATGTTCCTCTAATGTTGGAATGAACACAATTTTGAAATTGCGGCGTTTAAATTAAAGAAGAAACGCAATTAAAATGGCAAATGCATTTGTTTGTTCATCGACAAGTCATTGTTCCTTGTCATGATCCTCCAACTACTTCCCTTCATCTTCTTCTTCCTGGTTCACGCCATTACCAACATCCGGTTGTTGATCATGTGACTTGTGTGATGTATGCGAAATACCTCATCCTAGCGAAAAAACACTTCATTGAAACCAGGAGTTTTTTTTTGTTTGTTTGTTTGTTTGTTTTTTTGTAGTTGCCACTTTTCCATCGAACAAATGTATCTTTTCGTAATCCCATTTTGCGCAATTACACGGTCAATGGAAACGCAGCTACTAGGCAACTAGCATCACTGCAGAGGTGTGCCTCTCAGAGCAGAGGACCTACTCCTAGGGGTGTTTCCTCTCTTCACACCCAGACAGTCTCCAGAGTCTAATAAAAGCACTGACTGTCAGAACAGGTGAAATCAGAATGCTCCGCAGTCCTTACGTCACAGGATGGGAGACGTTGCATCAGCAGAGCGCACGTGGTTAGATTTGACCCTAGAAGGAGTGTATTTGTAGTGAAACCACTTGTTACAATGTTGACCTATTCCTCCCTTCCTTTATATTTTTATTAATTTTTGTCACCAAAGGAGTTCCCATATGATGGGTAGCTTGACTACAAGTCTCATAACAATACTACAGCGCCTAAGACAATCATTTGGATCTCTTTACGCTAGGGAACCCGAAGCGGGGTGTCCTCGAGCTATTCATACGCAAAGATGTTTGAAGGGTTTTGATAAATAAATAAATGCATAAAAAAACAAGCATATTTGTTCTTACATCATATTACTGTCACAGTTTATTTCTGCACTTACATTTCAAAGTGAAATCCCACCAAACTGCTCGCCCCCGA